GATGATCCCTTCAGGACCAGTGGTGAGAGTGGCAAAACCCGGAGGGTGGAGGTAGGGTGGGGTAGTGAGGGGGAACCGATTATAAGGATCTACATATAACCTCCTCCCTAGGGGAAGGATAACAGAAAAGCGGGTGAAGGGAGATGTCAGACAGTGTAAGACATGACAAAAGAACAATAATTTATAAAATATGAAGGGTTCATGAGGGAGGGAGTAGCAGGGAGAGAGGGGGGGAAATGAGTAGCTGATACCATGGGCTTAAGTGGAGAGCAAATGTTTTGAGAATGATGAGGGTAACTAATGTACAAATGTGCTTTACACAATTAATGTATGTATTGATTGTGATCCGAGTTGTATGAACCCCCCAATAAAATGATCTTAAAAAATAAATAAATAAATAAAGTATTGAAGAGCAAGGATGCTACTTTGAGGATTAAGGTGCACCTGGCCCATGTCATGGTGTCATCAATTGTCTCACAGGCATGTGAAAGTTGGACACAGCATAAAGAAGGATGAAGAAAAATTGATGCATTTAAATTGTGGTCCTGGAGAAAAAATATGAAAACTTCTTTGGACTGCTAAAAGGAAAAATTGAGCTATCTTGGAAGAAGTACAACAGAGTGCTCCTTAGAGACAAGGATGGCAACTTAAAGACACCCAACAACAACTACAGCAACACGAGCAAAATGCAGTGGCCTTCTTAAAAATCATCCATATGAGATCCCAAAGTCAACAATTTCTTAACAATAAAGTTGAGAATATAAAACACATGGAAACTAGACTACTGAAATGGGATCAGAACACAATGAAAGAGAATGTTGACACACTTATTTTTGAGTAATATTTTAGAGCAACTTGAATGAAGCTGTCAAAGTGTAACTTAATTTGCATTGTAACTTCACCAAGAATTCAATAAAACATAATATTTTTAAAAATCTATGATGGGTTGACATTGTAAAAGGTTTACTTGTGTCTCACATGTAGCCCTAGTATCCTCTATAAAAATACCTCTCACGTTACAAATTTTAGAATAGTTTTTTTTTCCAAAATTGTGCTAAATTATCTAGAGGGGTTGCAAAACCCATCATCTACACTTTATCCCACATTACAGGATCTACTATAGTACAGGGGGGTTTAGTTGCCATGGGAGTACTGAGTTGGTTATTGTTTTCCTTTGTAATGGAGTAGACCAAGTTTGTTTGAGAATCACTGCACAAGGCATTTTGTATTTTACCAGGTTTCCCCAGCTCCACCTGTAACAAATGCTCAATAAAATGCTATCGTTTATTTTCTTGTTTCATTACACTGTGGCAATTTATAATGTTTTATGGTTCCTCTATTTTCTTCTCAAGCTTCTATCAGAAAATTCTTGTTATTATTATACTGAGTTGCTTGAGGAGAAGATTAGAATTTGCTTTATAAAATACACAGAATATAAATTACAGTTTAAGAAACATTCAACTAGTCAGAGAAAAATATTGTATTAAAAAAATCTTTGCTACTTTTATGAGCCTACTTGGGTAACTACAGTTTTACACTATACATACCAAATATTGGATTCAGGTATCATAACACCAGATAAAGTTATCTTTTAGTGTAACTAAAAATAAAGACTAAATCCATTTGGAAAATGATGGCAGGTTTGTATGTTCAAGGCATGTGTCATGGATGTGAGCAGAACTATGTTGGGAGAGATAAAGGGCATGCACCTAGTTTCATAGGGTCAGTGAATCAAAAAAAGCTGAAATACACCTGCTAAAGTTTGGTCTTTTTACCGTCCTGGGATCACTATGAGAATAAATGTGTTTGGATAATGAGGCACTTTGGATATTGAGCCTCATGGGATAGAAGGACTGCAAGTGCTCTGCCTGTGACATCTCACTTAAGATTCCTTCCCCTGTAAGGAGATAGGACACATCGCTCTCTTCCAAGAGATGATTCATTCTACCCTGGAGCCCAGAGCTTCACTCAGATCCTGGAGACTTCCTAAGATCAGGCCTTACATCTTATCCATCCAGAGCAGATGTCAGACATCCTTCTGTAGCGATGTCATTCAGGTAACCAAAAGTCCCCTACTTAATGTTTGGAAATAAAAAAATGTTGTTTCAGTTAAGATTCCTCCAGAAAAATATTGCATGTGGAAAGAGACCATACAGGAAATTGTGAGAATCAAGTCTCCCATATTGCTTGTGGGTCAGTTTTCCTTATAGGTGTATATGTCAATAATAAAGAGTTTTCAATCATCTATTCACTTGATCTGCTTCTACAATCACAAGGACATTTTTCTTGTTTAAGCAATAACCTTAGCCTTCTTAAGCATGTTGATTGCTATAAGACTGTGTGATATATTCTAGCATTCTTGTGAAGGACATAGAGGTTTATCAGCTTTATTGATTCTTCCTGTTCTTAATACTTCTTTGTGTTATCTATATTATTTAACCTCTGGGGAAGGGAATGGACTTGGCAAACTACCTCCAGAGCCAGTGTATTTCTCAAGGTAAAATTGGCAAATGTTTTAAATACTCCTAAAAATCATAAATAGCATAATTGTACATGGTCATATATATTATTTTGTAGAAAGAATAAATGTTCTGTTGTCTCCATTTTAGTTTTCAAAATAACCTCATACATGCATACAGAAATGTCCTATGATTATTTCCCTTCATGAATCTTCTTTATTCCTGAAGATCATTTCTGCCTCTGGTGATACTGCTGCTGTGTGGTCTAAAGCAAAAACAAAACAAAAGCATTTGATTGTGTTGTTACCAAATCTCTCTATCAGATTCATCTACAATACAGAATCCAACAACCAATCAGGAGGTTTAAAATTACTTCTGCTGGGACTGACAGAGGATCCAGAACTACAACCTTTCATCTTTAGCCTGTTCCTCATCATGTACTTGGTCACAGTCCTTGGAAACCTGTTCATTGTCCTGGCTGTCAGCTCTGACTCCAAACTACACACCCCCATGTACTTCTTCCTCTGCAATCTCTCTTTTACTGACATGTGCTTAAGCACGACTACCATCCCAAAGATGCTGGTGAACATCCAGATACACAACCAGAGCATCACTTATACTGGCTGCCTCCACCAGATTTTCTTTGTCCTGGTTTTCAGTGTTTTTGAAAACTTTCTTCTCGTAGCAATGGCCTATGACCGCTATGTGGCCATTTGTCACCCACTGAGGTACACAGTCATCATGAATCCCTGCTTCTGTGGACTATTGCTTTTATTTTCCTTCTGCATTAGTGTAATGCCAGCCCTGCTCCACAGCCTGATGGTTTTGCGCCTGTCCTTCTGTACAGAACTGAAGATCCCTCAGTTCTTCTGTGAGCTTCCTCAGGTTCTCAGGGTTGCCTGTTCCAGTGCCCACATAAATAACATCTTGATATATTTTACTAATTGTACATTGGGTGGTGTTTCCTTCTCCGGAGTCATATTCTCTTACACTCGGATTGTCTCTGCTGTCTTAAGAATGCCATCATCTGGTGGGAAATATAAAGCTTTTTCCACCTGTGGATCTCACCTCTCAGTTGTTTCTTTATTCTATGGGACAGGCTTTGGTGTTTATTTCAGTTCTGCACTTACACTCTCTCCCAAGAAGACAGCACTAGCCTCAGTGATGTACATGGTGCTCCCTCAAATGATGAATCCTTTTATCTACAGCCTGAGGAACAGGGACATGAAGGTCAGCTTCAGAAAGCTCATTGGTAGGATTCCTTCTTTTTAGAGAGTGTGTGTGTGTTCTGGTGTGTCAGTGAGTGTGTCAATTCACTCATTGCACAGAGCTGACCCTGGTAAACTCTCCCTATAGGTCAGAATCACAATCTAGCACATTCGTTTCATGATTTTCAAAGTGGCATAGTTATATTTTCTGTCTGTTTTTAGATGATTGCCAGCTATTTGAATATGATCAGTGAAGAAGACTTTGGTGCTAATATTTAAAAGAATTTTACCCACTCATATGCTCATTGCATAGAGAGAGCTATCTCTCTCTAGAAGGACTTCAGTGTAGGTAATGTACAGGAAGTCTCAGTAAGGTTGTATTAGTGCTGTATCTAGTGGTTTCGTCATAGAATGGGTTTTCCTCATCGTCTCCAGATTTCTGCCTCTGATGCAGATGTAACGCCACACATGATAACCAAAGACAGAAATCATACTGTCTTTCCTGGATCTAAGGTTAATAGACTTTTCCATTGAGACATCAGAAAGCAAGCTTTCTGTAATAGGTTAGGTGGTTGAACCCGCAATGCTATTTCCACATCCAAATTCTTGGAACCTCTGAAAATTGCTCATATGATAGAATGAATATGGCTTTAATTATACAACAATTTTTTACACTGATTAAGACCAAATTACCCTAGTAGGCAAAATTGCAGTCACATGTATCTTCATGATATTGACAGTGCTGACCCCATAGAGTAATGCACTGGGTACATAACGTCAAACAGATTGGAGTAATCTGGGCCATAGGCATACCTGGAGCCATTAATCACTTCCTGAAGCTGGGAGAGAAAACAGATGTGTTCTCATTGTTAAAGTAATATACTCCTGCTGACACCTTGGTTTCTGCTTTCCAGGCTCATAACTGTGACATAATAAACGTCTCTTTTTAATCAACCTGGACTGGCTATTATTTATCTGGAGCCAACTGAAACAAAATTACACTCCCATCATCAAGGAGAATAATTTCATATGTGCCTCTTAATCTAAATCTTGATGTAGCAAGAAATGATCTGTATATGAAAAATCCATGGGGAAACCAACCTTAACCTGTATAAGAACTTAGGACAATGTCCACTATATAAAAAATTCTAAATAAACAATACTAATATCATCATATTCCATATTTAGACAGTACTCATAGTCATGCAATCTTTTTCCTTATGTACTTCTATCTTGATTTCAACAGTTATACTTGTTTATGCTTCTTTATTTTTTAAATTAATCATGGGGCTCTTTCTACTAGTTAGTTTATAGTCAAATGATTATGTAGGAATATAAAAGTTGGTAATATTTTATAGCACCTTATTTGGTCTGTTTCATTTTATTTGATTCATCAAAAATACGGAATGTAATTTTGCATTTTCTCCTTCATCACCTCACCTTGCTGTGTTTCTTATTCTTCTCTGGTAGGGTCCATGCAGAGATACTTGGGATAGTAAAATTCGGTGAATCATTGGAGTCATAGATTACTGGATATATCATTTTAGGCCACTCGTCCAAAAACGTTCAATGTAAACTTACAAGATGAATTATTTTTCTGAGAATATGCAAATGTCTTTTCTCAGAACATATTCTGAGTTGTCAGAATCCTCCCTGTGGGAATGCTGGTGAAGCTTATGAAGCTGAAAGTATTGTCCTAAATGTCTTGACTTTCATGACTCCAAGCAGCATTCTGAAAATTTCTTTCTGTGGCAGCTCAATGTCTGCTTCTTCTATGTATGTTGTTATGCTCTGGATATCTTCTGCCATTGCCTTTTGTTTCTCCTGTTTTTTTGTTGAGGTGGTTGGGGCTGA